GCTCTGTCTCTCTCTGTCTCTCAAAAAATGAATAAACATTAAAATACATACATACATACATACATAGTACAATTGCTGTGTTATAGGGTAGTACTGTTTTTAATTTTTTGACGAACCTCCATACTGTTTTCCAGAGTGATCTTTCTTGAAAAGAATGGAATTTATTTATTAAGTGTTTATTTATTTTTGAGAGAGAGAGAGAGAGAGAGCACGCGAGTGCACCCAAGTGGGGGAGGGGCAGAGAGAGAGGGGGACCAAGGATCCCAAGGCAGCTCGGTGCTGACAGCAGGAAGCCTGATGCAGGGCTCAAACCCATGAACCCTGAGATCATGACCTGAGCTAAAGTCCAGTGGTCAACCACTGAACCCTGCAGGTGCCCCTAAGATTTTATTTTGAACGGGTCAGCCTCGGTGGCTCAGTAGGTTGAGAGTCTGGCTCTTGATTTAGACTCCGGTCATGATCTTGCAGTTCATGGGGTCAAGCCCCACATCAGGCTCTGTGCTGACACTGCGGAGCCTGCTTGGGATTCTGTCTTTCCCTCTGTCTCTGCCTCTCCCCTACTTGTGCTATAAACAAACAAACTAACAAACATTTTTTTTTAATTAAAAAGAAAGACTTTATTTTTAAGTAATCTCTACACCCAGTGTGGGGCTTGAACATACAATCCAGAGATCAAGAGTCACATGCTCTACCCACTGAGAGAGCCAGGCTCCCCTGGATGATTCCACTTTATGAGATATCTAAAAAAGATGAATTCAAAAATCAGAATTTAAAATGGTAGTTACCAGGGTTTGGGGGATGGGGAATTGTTAGGAGGCATACAGGTTCAGTTAAGTAAGATAAGTTAGCTCTAGAGACCTACTGTACAATATTGTACTTATAGTCCAAAATAATGTGCACTTAACATTTATTAAGAGGATAGGTCTCATGTTAAGTGTTCTTACCACACAAAAAAAATAATAATAAGTGAATAAAATAAACAGCCTCTTTTCTTCACCTTCCCTTCAGACTTCTATAGGAGGCAGGTGGAAATGAGAAACAAAGACAGGAATTAGATCCAAACTGTTCAGACACAAATACCCCCAACCCCAGACCCCAGACCCACAACCTATTTGAAGCTCCTGGAAGGCCAAGGAATACAAAGCTTTTCCAGGTGGAATGGAAACATTTGAGGACTCCATGTGGGTGTTCTATATGGGCTAATTTCTTTCTTTCCAAGGACCTTTTATATTATTCTTTCAGTTATTACTGAATGTCATATATGTGCTTTGTAAAAATTTTCAAACAATCCAGACATGTATAAATGAAAAGTTGTTCCAGAAACCACTGCTGGTAATAGTTCCAAATGTGTAATTCCAGACTCTCCTCTCTAAAAAATACTATATATATTGGGGTGCCTGGGTGGCTCAGTCAGTTAAGTGTCTGACTTCACCTCAGGTCATAATCTCACAATTCACGAGTTTGAGCCCTGCACCAGGTTCTGTGTAGACGGCTCAGAGCCTG